GGGGAGGGATTCCTGGGTTCTATCCCAGCTCAGGCTTTCAATGAGTTTCACGCCATCTTATAGCACTTTCATCTCGACCCCATTTCTCTAGGGAATGTCACACGGGACAAGCTACATCCCATCTACAGCTCCGCCCCCCACCCGTCGGCCAGTAACCCATCCAAGAAGGCAAGTAGGTTGCTTTGTTCCAGGCAAACCCCGCTGGCTGTTCCTGGATCCCCGAGGTCAGTGGTTCTCAAACTGGGGACCCCTCAGCGGGTCGTGAGGTTATTACATGGGGGGTCGCGAGCTGTCAGCCTCCCCCCCAAACCCCGCTTTGCCTCCAGCATTTATACTGCTGATAAATATATTTAAAAGTGTTTTTAATGTATAAGGGGGGTTGTCCTCTGAGGCTTGCTATGGGAAAGAGGTCACCAGTACAAATGTTTGAGAACCACTCATCTAGGTGCTCACAAGCCAATCCTTCCCTAGCGTCCAGGCACCAAAGTCAGGCTGCTGGGTCTCTAATTCCCCAGGTCCTGTTCGTTTCCCTTTCTCAGGACAGGTGCCACGTTTTCCTCTCTCCAGCCCCCGGGCCCTCACCCGCTGGCCAGGTCTCAAAGCTCATCGCTAGCGGTTCTGGGATTGCTTCGGCTGGTTCCTTAAACATCTAGGGGTGAATTTCATCAGGCCCTGCCAACTTGAACACAGCTCACTTGTCTAGACATGCTTCACCCTGGGCCTTGCTTGGCGGCGTGTGCTATGACCCGTGTGAAGTATCCGCTCACACTGACTGCCTTACTGAAGCCAAGCGTGCGTGAAACCCGTCAGCTCTCCTGCCCGGCTCCTTCACCTGGGGCAGTCTGCAGCGGCACCTCTCCTATCGTCTCGGAGGAGCTGCCCGCTCTCCAGAACGCCTTTTCCCCGGAGCTTTTCCTCCCGCTGGGCCGCGCCCCCGGGTCCTACCTGCGCTTTGACCATGTCCAGCATGGCCCCGAATCCATCCACCAGCTCCTCCAGCTGCTGCACCCTCTCCTCCAGGGCGCCCGGGGCGGGGAACTCAGGCTCGCCGGGCTGCTGCTGGTAGTTGCGGATGTCGGCGAGGGCTGGCGGCTCCGGGGCCAGGGGGGATCCTTGATCAAAGGGGGGCTCGGTCAGGTCCCCCTCCTCCGCCAGGGTGTACGGCACGGGGAAGGGGTCTGCAAGGCACCGCAGGGAGGGCATGAACGGGGGAGTTGGCTCCAATCCCGTCACCCCCCACCTGGCCTGGCTCACCCGTCCCCATGGAAGCCCATGGCTGCCTGGGGGCCGGATACGAGGGGTTTGCTGGGTGGAAGCCTGGGTCCCAGGGAACTCTGTGAACCATCCCCCAACTGGTGCCACTTCTCCCCCGGCTCCGCTGATGGCCTGGCACTGCGCTCCCTCCGCACCTGCTCTGGGGCCCAATGACTCCAGGACTCTGGGACGCGGGGCGTACCCAGAGTTGTGGGGAGGAGGGAAAGGATAAATGGGTGCTCCATGTGCCCCAGCCCTCGCTGCTCCCCTGGGGAACCCCTCTCCTACCCGCCGCCCCCCAAACATCTCAAAGCCGGTTCCCCGCAGCCACCAGGCACCAGTTAGATGGCTGGCGCACAGCACAGCCCTCTGCTGGACGGATGCAGAGCTGCCCTGATGCGTGTCATGGGCTCTAGACTGCTAGGAGCTAGTGGGGATTCCCCTTCCAAAGGAGGCCTGCTGCTTGGGAGCCAGGGACCTGCCCCTGTACCCGCCAGGAGGCTGGGCAAGGCCTGGGCTAGGGTGGGCAACATCCACGGGGCCTTTGGTGACTGCGGCGGGGACAGGCCGGGTGACAATACAGAGACCTCCCCCAGAGACCTCAGCGGCCGAGCCCACATCACCTCCATGCTGCGGGAGTGGGGGGGGCTGATACATGGGGGCCCCTCCCCCCGATACCCCCCATCCATGCTCAGCTCACACATGTTATGCACACACACGCCCATCTCCCGAGGGCACCAAATCCCACCCTGCACCCAGCGCCCGCCAGCCGAGCCGAGGATGGGCCCAGCACCCAGAGCATAGCCAACAGCTGATTCCCCCTTGCCCAGCAGCCAGTGCCAAGGGCAGCCTGTTGGCCAGCCCCGTGGCACCGGCCATGGTACCGTACCCCGTGGCACCGGCCATGGTAAGCGGCTGGCAGCTGGTTCAAGGCTGGGCTCAGACGGGGGAGGGGAATGTGCTGCAGATCAGAGGGGCAGGGGAGGATGGGGGGCTGCCCAGGGTTCCCCAGCGCCTGGCCTTGGTGCGGAGGGGCAGCTGGAGCAGTACATGGCCGCCTGGCCCGGGGACAGGAGCACGTGGGCAGCGTTCAGAGCCGGGCCCTGCCCATCTGTCCCACATCCAGCCAGACCCTGAACTCTCCGCTCCCAGCCCCCCACCCTCAGCTCCTCCTTGTCCTCCGGCCCAGGCTCCAGGGGACTGGGCTCTAGCCGGCCTCTATGGCTGGGCGCCCGGATCCGTCCCAGACTGAGTGCCCGGAGGGGGGGGGGCAGGCTGGGGGCGCGCGGGAGGGGGGTTAACCCACATGCAGTGGCCGGGAGACTGCACCCGGCGCAGCTGAGGGCCCATCCCCCTGGCCTCAGTGGGGGCAGTGGAGTGGAGCTGGCCCCAGCAATTAGCGCTGGAGGCTGCCCAGGGCCCAGCTCGTTAGCAGATGAGGCCGGGGGCAGCTGCGGGGGCAGCCGTTGTTACGGCTGCCAGGGCCGGAATTGAGGCCAGCAGGGAGAGATGCGCGGGGGTGGGAGGGAGGAGAGAGGAGGCAAGGGAGGGCGGTTGGTGGGGGAAGGACGGGCCGGGGGACAGGGACAGGAGTGATTGCAGCCACGCCGCTGAGAACAGAAACCTGGATCTATCCCAGCTCTGGGAGGGGAGTGGGCTCTAGTGGTTAGAGCAGGGGGCTGGGAACCAGGACTCCTGGGTTCTATATCCAGGTCTGGGAAGGGAGTGGGCTCCAGTGGTTAGAGCAGGGGGCTGGGAACCAGGACTCCTGGGTTCTATCCCCAGCTCTGGGACGGGAGTGGGCTCCAGTGGTTAGAGCAGGGGGCTGGGAACCAGGACTCCTGGGTTCTATCCCCAGGTCTGGGAAGGGAGAGGGTCCTAGTGGTTGGGGTCCAAGGGCCTGGAGCAGCCAGGCCCCTGGGGAAGGGCTGGGGGGCCATCACATGGCCAGGGCTGGCTAGACGCCTTGCCAGGCCCCAGCCCCGGTGACCAGCTGACCCCAGATCCCCAGAGAGGACAGGCTGGGTTGCCCGGCTCTATCCCAGCCCAGAGGCAAGCCCCTTTCCTCGCCCTAATCACGCCCCCGTTCTCAGCTTCCTCACGTGTCACCCCAAGATCTGCCAAGTGCTCCCGGGGGGAGGCAGGATTCTGCGGTGTCCTGCACTCTGCTAAGCAGGGGCAATGCTGATGTATGCAGCTCTCTCCGCCGTGGGGCCCCACCCAGCCCTGGAGTTGCACCCCCAGCCCAGCCCAGCCCAGCCCAGCGGCCTCGGCCGGCTCCTACCTGCCAGGTTCTCGCAGTGCCACGGCCGGCGTGGGAACCCGCTGGGGGAGATCTCAGCCGTCTGCCAATAACCCTGCAGCGAGAGCCAAGCCCGTCAGGCTCCGGGTCGCCCGCCAGCACCAGGGG